GGCAATGTTTACAAAATATGGATGTTATCAATCCTCGTGATATCAATTAATCAAAATTAAAATTGCTTTTTTGCTTTTTTTTTGCTTTTGCCTTTTTGTAACTCGTCAGTTGTGGTTGTCTTAATRTCTTATATTTTTCTGTAACTCAACAATTTTGGTACTTGAGCCTGAAAAATTATGGTGTGCTCCTGTAGTGTTCACTTGTGTACAAATCGGTCAAAACCAGGTCCTCGAAAAATACACTTTTTCTCGTAAGTAATCTTTAGATATTTTATACGATATTAATTTTGTTTATTTATATATGGGACTTATTAACTTACACAAATATTAAACAATACACTTAGTTTTTAGTATATTGTCATCGAAGTAAATTATTTAATCAATAATCTTTCATTATTTTTCGTTATTTCAATTAAAACAGAACATATTATGTTATACAACATATTTTAAATTAACATTTCTTTGTTGGATTTTTATAAATAGGTTCCCACTGAAAAATGCTGAAAGAAATCAGCAATGGGTAAATGCAGTTGGCCGAAAAGGGTTCATCCCGTCCAAATATAGTAAAGTGTGTAGTGATCATTTCCATCAAAATGATTTTGAACAAAATTGTGGTGGTAGTTATTTGCTAAAACTGAAAGAAACGGCTGTCCCTTCAATTTTTCCAAACTACTCTGAAATTATATCAAAAGCCAAAATGCAGTGTCTTGAGGTTGACCCATTTCAAGTAGCTGGATGCAGCTCTTATAATTCTTGTACTGAGACTAATAAACCAGGTAATTCATAAATAATTTTAYATAATTAAAAAATGTTTATTGATGTCTATTTGAAATTATTTATGATGTTACATCAACATTTTTTGTTGTAGAAATACATAATGATGTTGATTGTGTTGTGGTTAATGATAGTACTTCAGTCAAAATTATTTCACCACATGAATCAACCTCAACTATTCAAGAATGTAATTTAYTAACACAGAATTCATCACCACCCACACCATTGTTGATCACACCATCTAAAATGTCATGTGCCCGTTCATTATTTAACATAAGTCTACCAAAGCGTCCTAGTTTTTCTCCATCTAAATCTGAATTGAAGAAAAAAATTAAATCATTGCAACAACGAATTCGRCGGCAAGATAAATCAATCAAAAATTTAAAAGATTTATTAAAAGTTTTAAAAAAAAAGAATTTAATTGAAAGAGAGTCAGAGGAGTTACTAATGGAAAAATTTGATGGTACAACTTTGGACATATTCCAAAATKTTATTAAAAATAAAGGTAAAAAATCTACAGGACGTAGATTTAGTAAGAAAATTAAGGAATTTGCTTTGACTCTTCACTATTACTCGCCTAAAGCTTATGAGTATGCAAGGTAACTTATAATTGCAAATTTAACGCAGAAGGTTTTGGTATTATATTTTTAGCTTAGTAACTGGAAGTTTCCCTTTCTTCCATGGTATCRACGACACTGCCTGGACTGCTTATGCCTTCGATATGCTTGCACATTAATTCGATAAAGCTTTCACATTACTTTGACAAAACTGTAGAATAATGCCCAAATAATTTTTAATATTTTTATCAAACGCATAAACAAATTGCTCACCAAAGCTTGTCTTCTAATAAACTTATATTTTTATTTTTTAACACTTTTATTTTCTTAACTATTTGATGTGCTTATTTTAGATCAGTCCTAATTTTACCAAGCAGTAAGTCTATAATGAACTGGACTTCATCTATCAATGCAGAACCAGGCATATTTARTGAAGTCATGGAAAGTTTGAAAAGTTTAAGTTCCGAAGACAAACACTGCAATTTATGTTTAGATGCCATGGCCTTGAGGAAACAAATTTTATGGAGTGAAAAATTTAATAAATTTATTGGGTATTGTGATTTTGGTGGTGAATTACAACTTGAGGGGACAGATACTCCAGCTACAGAGGCTCTATTTTTTATGCTTGTTAGTCTTAATGGTAAGTGGAAATTGCCTATAGCGTATGTCCTACAAAATAAAACCACTGCAGTTGCTCAAGCAGAATTAGTAAAATCAATACTTAAACAAACACATAATGCCGGTTTAACTGTTTGGGGTATTACATGTGATGGTGCTTACACAAACATAGCCATGATGAAAATATTAGGTTGTGTCATTGGTAATAGTTATAGTGAAATAAAAAGTTGGTTTCCACATCCTATCAGTAATGACAAAGTTTTTTTTGTACCTGATGCATGCCACAATTTAAAATTAGC